TTGAATTTGTATTAATGCAAGTATTACTTTTGCTCAAGATTGAAAATCTTTTATATGAAGATTATGATATTTTTGTTTATGAGAATATACTATCTTGATTTTGACTCAATTTTTTTCTATGTATTATTTTTAACTTCCGACGCAGCTCAAAGTTATAGTTAATTAATTCCCTCTTTAATAAATTGACAATCAAATTTGAAATCAATTACTCCCTTGTATAGGAAAATTTTTTTCTGTTTTCTTTCATTTTAACTTATCCCCTTTGTTTTACCGTTTGGCACGTTTTGCTACGTGCACAGCTGAAATTTATTTTCTAAAGTAGCGCTCTTAGACGCGCAAAGAGAAATCCATACATCATTTCATTTAAACAAAGATTGAACTATTGTTATTATCGTCGATAACAGTTACGTCTGTATTTTCGCGATACGCCGTAAAAATGATAAGACAATTGTCGAAGGTTTTCTATCCGCGAAATGAGAAGGAAATGCACGGCCACTTCCTCGAGATAACTGACAAACGATAAAACGTCTGACAGTTGATTTGTCATCTACCATATTTGCGTAACAAGGCTTCAATCTGAAATCATAATGCCTCCAATCACGTCCCTCGAGCCGTGAAAATCAATCGCGAAAATTGAGACGAAAATTGAGACTTGCATTTCCTAGAGGTGAGGCGAAACGAGAAGAGGAAAGGAAAAAACGAAAGGAAAGAGTCATAAATACGATAAACGACGCGATAAACACGCCGCGGAAAAATTCCTCACCTCGGCTGTGCGTTTCTTTTCTTCTCTCTTTTCTTACGCAGCGCGTAAACTATCCGAAGAATTGATTTTCGTCGACCTTGCGATCGACATATGTTTCTGCACAAACTGCAAATCAACCGTCAAATCGTTCACACACATACGTGTATGTAGTATGTATGATGTACGTGTGCGTGACGTGTTTCCAGCAATGGGACTCACGCTCGCGATAAGATACACGAGTGCAGTAACACGATTAGTGCATGCGTACTACGAGAGAGAGAGAGAGAGAGAGAGAGAGAGAGAGAGAGAGAGTCGTCTTC